AGGTGGCACAGGACTTTGGAATACTGAGGGTTGGCCGTACTAAGGACTGCTCAGAAGGGAGTGGCCATGGCAATATCAGGCCCATAGCATGCACCTCTTACATCAATTGTGCTCAACCTTTTAGCCCTGTGGGCAGGATAAGTGGTGCAGGGCTGGCCTGTGGGCTGGATCCCTGGCAGGGTCAGCGCCTGGATTAGGCCCCACACTTCCTCAGCCTCATGTGTCTGCTCTAGTGTGCAAACCACAGTCTGGCCTATCAGGCTTCCCCTAGATCCTGAAATTTAATAGCAGAGGAGTGGCAATTAATGCCGCCACTGCTCCCCCCCACTGCCAAATTTTGGCATCTGTGGGGATCCCAGCAGCGTGGATGACAGGCTCTATGGGCTGAATCTGGTCCTCAGGCCAGGGGTTGAGCGTCCCTATCTTCCACAATTGAAAGAGGTTTGTAGGAGCAGGGCCATAGTCACAGCTACCATTGAATTCTTCAGGGAACTTCTAGAGGGTGGAAATCAGGAAAGCACCATTTGTTTCTCTTTTTTCTTCCTTTTGCTTTTTTTTCCCCCTCTTCCCTTTTTTCTCCCTCGTTTGGCAAGATTTAAAATAGATGGGGGTTTTTTGTGTCAAAGCACATTGAATAACAACAGTAACCTTTGGAAAACCAATACCAGCAAAAAGTGCTTACTCAAGTGCTTTTCAGATAGCTTGTGTGCTCCAGCTTCATTACCTGATATTTAAAATAACCCTGGCACATAGATGGAAGCTGCTGAACTTTCCCTGTCACATCGGATCTTGGGCCTCAAGTCAATGAAGATGTCTCTTAAATATGCAGCATTGCCTGAAACCAGGACCGTCACATCATGTGACATTACATAACCTATTTTATTTTTTTAATTTTAAATTGTGTGTGTATGAGTCTAGACCTCATAATACGTGGCAAATTGACAGCCCCAGAGAACCTTCTGTTTCGCTACATACGGAAAGGGCCAAATGACAACCTTTATTACACTGCAGTATGCCCCTGCATTACGTAAACACAACCACCAGCTCCAAACACTTGGAAGTCACAAGAGAGATCACTAAAATCATGAGATTAACTTACATCATGAGATTTTTTTTAAAGAATAATACATTTGGGAGCTTATTTGCTTTTACGTTTTGGGTCTCTGTATCACTTGGGTTATATAGTTGAGAGTCACTTGAAAATGAGGGTTAGAAACTTTTTTCTCAATGAAAGGTGAGATTCTCACATAATTTCCTGTTGGCAAGAGCTAGGCTTGTGAGTATTGTTAGCCTGATTAAACTTTGAGAACTGGCCACAGGGATAAAATTACTCTAAATTACAAAACTTTAACATAGTTGAATGTAGTTGTGAGGAATGGGGATAGTTGGGACTGATTAATGTGATTTGAATTGGGATGCTCTACAGTTCAGCACAAAAGCCATGGTCACTATCAGGATAGCAAACTCAGTTCTGTACATCTGTGTTCAAACATGGCACAACTTGTACAGTAGACAAAGCCATAACCGGAGCACATTTAGGGTTGAAGAATAAGTTGTCACTCCACACAGAGCGAGGAACAGACCTCACAGTCTCTGACTCTTGGTCTGGTGCTCATCAATTGGACACCTCTCTCTCACCCAGTAAAAGTATTTTTCACTTATACACTCTCCAGATGGAGAGCTTGGTGCTTTAGCAGCATTGATTAATTAAGTTTCAGGCCGTCTCCGATGGATCAGTGTTATAATGATTATTAATATACCCGATTACTGTTAAAATCTTTTCATGTAAAAAAGGAAAGAACAAACTCTAGTCCAATACTGACTTGCATAAATATGACTGAATAAAATAAATACAAATCGGCATTAATTGATCATTAAGGAAGTGGTTTTTTTCTTTTTTTTTTAATGGAAGTCAGGACATTTTCAAGTGAAATGGTGAGATCTGGGACCCACTGGAATCAATAGGAATTTCTGCATTGACTCCAGTGGAACTAGGATGTCTGCAGAATTATGTCAGCAACATTATTAGCTCAGCTGTAGAGTACATAGGTCATTCCTTGTATGTCTTTTTTTCTCTCTTAGTGTAGAGCTCATTCTATGGTCAAATATTCCATAAAATTATAACCTTTAAAGCACAGATTGTAGAGCACAAATGAATTAATGTTGATAATTGGTCCATGAGCTAAGTTCTTCCTTCATTAACTCACCATCAATCCAATTTAAGATGATGGAGTTACCTCATGTGAAAAGCCCCAGTCTATTAAGTCTAGTCGTGTTCTTAAAGTTGAACGCTTGCTCAAGTGTTTTGCTGGTTCGGGGCCCAACTGAAGACAAAACTTACCTCAAGCTTCGCTTTTTCACAATGGTCTTATTTTGACACTTAAGCCTGAGTGCTGCATGTAGCAGTGTTTTGCACGTCATCTCTGGTTTCTCTGAAGGGGAGTTAAAAAAGAAAGTTGACACTAGTACTGTCTTGATCATAAATTGGCTTTGAAATGTATGGATGGGAGAGGAGTTGGGGCAGGAGTGAGTTTCTGCCGTTACTGTTGTTGCTCTTTGTCTTAGGATAAATTTATGCAAGTCTTGGCAATCAGTCTGTTTCTATTGTGAAGCCAATCTTTCTGGCCTTCTGCGCATCAGCTCCTTTTGACTTCAGTGGAAACTGTGCGCGCCAGGGCTACAGGATCAGTCCCTATCATGTCAATTTCCTGGCAGTAGGAAGAGACAGAAAGGATGTTTAAATAAAAGCTTTGAATCAGAAGAATATTGTAGAGCGCAGCAAAAATTGTATCAAAACCCTGAAATCTTAGACTCAGCAGTTTTCTTCAGGCCAGTGGTTTTTTCCTCTTCATGGTTTTAAAACTTTCTTTTTTGGAGGCTTTTTCAGTCAGGCATTTATATCCTCTTGCATATAAATTAGCACAGCAGCAGCGGCGTTAGCATTCTCTGCACCAGTCAGGCTGGACGGAGAGGTGGTGTAATGTGACATAATTTAAAAGGTGGGGCTTCCCTGTTTTTGCTGAAAATCTCAGTGGATTCCCTGCTG